AAGTACATTTGTATACTTATTTGATGCTCAAATTCAGCCCAAAAATCAGCCCCAAATCAGCCCTAAATCAACCCCAAATCAACCTTCAAATCAACCCAAACACAATCCATGATCTTACATGTCCACACAACAAATAACAATTGATTTATTTTGGGCAATCCATTGATCCAAGAAGGCAAGCACATGGATGGAAAGCTGGAGGGGATATTTTAACATTATTTTGGGTCAAAAAGAAGAAGGAGACACCTCATAAATGAGGAAGAAAAACGTGCACCAAAGTAGTTGTAAAGCTGTCTTGATTTGATTTTTCAGAACACCTTTCGGTGTTTTGCCCATAACTTTTGACTCAGGTGTCCAAATGAGCTGTTCTTTAATGATCTGGAAAGGTGACAGAATTGCCTATAAATATGTCTCTAATAGACTTCTCCAAAAAAAGCTTCTAAGAGGGTCGAATTGCTGTCCAAAGTTAGAGTCAGATTTGTGTCCGAATTTTTTCTGAAATTGTATTGTGTTCTTCTTTATAGATTTCGGTTCTTTAGTTTGTAAAACTTATTTTTTCAGTTGGATTCAAGTTCTTTCATGTTTATTGAAGTGTTCTTATATATAATCATGGTTGGCTAAACTCTTTCTTGGATCCAAATCAAGGATAATGGTGATTGAGGTGAGTTCTTTAGGATATGAATGAATCTTAATGTTTATCTTCTTATTTTCTTCATGAATGATTTATTATTGTAAAGAAATTTTAGAAATCATTTAGGTAATGTTATAATCTTGAATTTTTATGCACAAACTTTAGTTTTGGTATAGAGATTGCTTGATTCAATGTCTTACTTAATATGAAAGTACTTGTTCATTCTTAAGCAATAATCAATCTTCATCTTTCTAATCTTCATTGTAATATCTTCTGATCTAATATCACCATCATTGATATTAGGTTGAGTTATCTTATATATGTTGAAGAAATCACCAATACATCACCATTAAAATTGATTTGGACCAAGACTTACTTTTCTTGTCATTTAAAATCTATTTACATTTTTTTTTTATCTTTAAAAACAAATCCATCAATTATTTTCAACCAAGTTATTGTTAATTTAATTTCTCTTGAGTTTTTTTTTGTTACTTAGCTTAATTTCCAGATCTAGCTCTCTGTGGATATGACCTCGATCTTACCGAGTTAATTGCTACATCGCACACTCGTGCACTTGCGAGTTAAAACAAGTCGATCATAAAAAGCGGTCAAGCAACACTATTTAGTGAATTATATTCTCAAAATAGTATTATTCATCAAACAACTACTTTTTATTCACCATAATAAAAAAGTGTTACAGAACTTAAAAACCAAATATTAAAAAAATGATAAATATCATGTTGATAAGTTCGGGTGGATCTCAAAACTTGGGAGAGGGGAAGAAATTTTAATTGTCACTTCACACAGTGCCCAAAAAAATTTAGAAAAGACATCATATGATTTATGAAAAGGTAGAAGACCTTCTTAAAAATATCTCAAAGTATAGGGATCCTAAAATTATAGATTGTATTTTTATTGGACATGCAAACAATAATAGTGTATATAGATTTATTGTACATAAGTTAAGCATTGAGGATATTCATTCAAATACTATTATTAAATCAAAGAATTCTATATTCTTTAAAAATGTGTTTCCATTAAAAGAAACAAGAGAAAATTGTTTTTTTAAAAAAATAATTGAGACTAGCTCAAGTGATCATTATCAATCATAAGATCATGAAATTGAGCTTAGAATGAGTAATAGAATGAGTAACAGGACAAAAATAACCAAAATATTTGGTCTCGTTTTTTCTACATACTTATTAAAAAATAAATCTCGAATATACTTTGAGACAATATTTTATTCAGAAGCTTCCTATTGAAAAATATTAATAGATAAATTAAAATCATTATGAATAATCATACATGAGAACTAGTGACTTTTCTTTCACAAATAACCTATTAACCATAAATGGAACTTCAAAATAAAGATGAAAATTAATGGCATTATCGATAAATATAAAGATAGACTTGTTGTTAATGATTTAGACAATAAGAAGGTGTGAAATATTTTGACATATATTCATTTATGTCAAGAATAACTTTTATACAAATGTTACTATCTATTGTAGTTATTAATAAGCTTAAAATACAACAAATGGATGATCAGGTTTACATGGAACAACCCAAGAGGTTTGTTGTCAATGAACAAGAAAATAAAGTTTGTTAGCTTGTCAAATTATTATATAGTTTGAAACAAGCACCTAAATAATGAAATAAAAAACTAGATTGCCAAAGGTTATGTCATTGTATGTCTCTATATGGATGATTTGTTAATTTTGAATAATAATGATCACATGATTAAATTTACTAAGAAAACATTAACTAATAAGTTTGACATAAAAAGCTTGGACATTACATATATCATACTAGAAATATAAATTTCTAGGATATTTGATAGATTGATATTGTTGTAATCTTATTATGTTAATAAAATTCTTGGCAAAGTTTCTAAAGGTGACTACAACACTATTAAAACACAATTTGATATAAGTGTATACCTATTTGCGAATAAATATAAAGGAATAAATTAATTAGAATTTTCTCGAATAATTAGAAGTCTAATGTATTTTATGAACTATATAATGCCTAATATTGTTTACCCGATAAGTAAACTGAGTAGATTTAAAAGTAATTTAAGTATGGATCATTGAAAGGTAACAAAAAATGTATTTAAATATTTAAGAAACATCATGGACCATAAGTTGTACTATATTGGTTAACTAGTGGTACTAGAAATGTATAATGATGCCAATTGAATATCCATTACTAAGAATTCAAATCCCCAAGTAGATATACATTTGGTATAGAAGTTGTATCATGGAAATCTTTCAAATAAACATGTATTGCTAGATTCACAATAAAATTAAAGTGATGGATAATAAAGTTTTAAAAATAAAGGTTTCATTCTCAATAACAATAAAAATTTCATTTCTTTAAAATACTTTAATAAGTAAGTATTCTTTTTTGTTTTAATTCAAGCATTGCTATTTTTATTATTCGTATACATGCTAGGACTTTGATTTTATATATATTGCAAGTTTAAATATATGCTTAATATGCATAATAATATTCTTTTTATTATATCTACATTGAAAACATATTTATCTTGAATTTTATTTTGCATGTTTATATATTTAAAAATATATGCATTCTAATTTATCTTAAATAATTTTTCATGTTTTGTATGCTTTTGTTATGATAAACTAAATATCCTAGCTTATAGTCTAATATAATACAACATATTTTGACAACATGTAAGGTAAATGAAGGTATTTTTATATATAATTTTGGTAAAAATTATTTTCTATGTTTGTAATTTTAAATTGTAAGCTTGACGATATATAGGTAAGTTGCCCTATATAGAATGTTTTGTTTTTTATATTATTTATCTATAACATTTCTATTACATTGTACAGAAGACATCTCTTGAATTTGTAAGATGAAAATAAGGAATTTCTAATATACATGTTTATAAACCGGAAAAAAAATTTAGTCAAGTCAAATAAATTTATTGATGAAAATTAGATTAAACTAAAATCTTAGGAATGTATTTTACAAGCTTGATTTGGCTTGCTAGTATACGTTAAGGGTTATATATATATATTAGATTTAGAAGTTGTTGTTTTGAAATTTTCTTTATTTTCATTGTTATTTTTTAATCCATTTCCTTTCTAGCTAAGGCTGGTTTAATTTATTTTTTAAACAATTTTATATGCTTTTAGTATTAAAATTATTGACATTTATAATTTGCTTCTCTTTACAATTTAATTATAAATTTAGAGTTTATAAAATCCTAATTTCTTTTTTTTTTTATTATAAGCTACATGATCAAACTTAAACATAGTTTTTTAAAGAAATGTTTCAGTCATTTAGATCCCGCTCGGGACACGGTGCAAACCATGTTTTCAAAAGTTTTGATTTTTTATTAAAAATAATATTTTTTATATTTTTAAATTATTTTGATATATTAATATAAAAAATAATTTTTAAAAAATAAAAAAATATTATTTAATACATTTTTAAATAAAAAAAATACTTTAAACCATAACTAGTAATATAATCTCCAACAAAATATTAAACATACCCTAAAAAACTGGAAATGTTCAAGCTGCTTGGACCCATAGCTACGAAATTAGCCTAAATCGCATGCATCCTCAAGATTGAAGATGGATTGTCCAATTGAATTGAGAACTTCATAAATATAAAAATATTTCATCTCTATTCAAATCAATCTTTCCTTTGGAATTTATTCTGTATTTTTCAAGAGTAAATAAGAATAGTAAATATTTTATTTATTTATTTATATCAAATCCATTTTTTTATATTTTAGAATTGAAAGTAACTCTCTGTTTTTCTTTATAATGTTTTTTTGCTTTTTTTTCTTTAAATTTTAACGTGTTAGGTTTTTTAGTCAATTATTTCTGAATAAATCTCAAATTCCAATCTCTTTTTTTATATTTAAAAAAGAAAATACTTCGGTTGCTATCTAAATTGGCACAGCATAACACACCCTAAAAATTAGCAGAAAAAATAGAGAAGAAAAGATTATCAAGGTCGTGGGAAGCACACACAAACACAAAGGAGGATCTTCTTTCGTTGTTTTTTTATTTATTATTATTTTCTTTTAATTGTTTAATCCAGTCAACGGTCAACCATTCCAAATAGATGGATAAAATACACCCAAGATTTTCTCTCATGTTTCCTACAGAACATTTGTGTCCCTTCATTTCCTTCCAGCTCTCCCCAGCCTCTCACAACAAAGACCATTTCAATAATTCATTCCCCACCAAAAAAGAAAGAACCAAAAAATACGTTGAAATTAGAAACTCACTAAAATTAATGCACGTCCCTCTCTTTCACCTTCTTTCTTCTTGAAACCCCCTCCCCACCTTGACCTTTCATTTGCTTGTTTTTTTGTACCAGAACAATGGAAAGAGACTTGTCTGAAAAACATCCGCCTGAGAAACAGCTTTCTAATAATTCATACGGTTTTGACAACGAAGAAAATGCCACCAACATTACTACCAATCCCAATGCCAATCATCATGATCAACCTGAGACTGAAACCTGCGATCAGTTGGTGTCCCAGTCACCTAAAGCAGGGGTGAAAGTGGAAGAATCAGACAGTACAGGTCATGAGATCGAGGAAGTTTTACATGAGGAGAAAGAAAATGATGAAGAGATTGGAGACATCTCTCCTCCTGAAATTCATTATACCCTTGAAACTGTGTCTCAAGACATTGATCAGTTTATTACAACACTGTCAGCCACTCCGAAAGATGCAAAAGAAACAATTGTAGAAGAAGAAAAGGAAGAAAAAGATGAGAAGGTGCCTATGGAGATTCCCGTGTTTGTTGAGAAATTTTTGGATCTTGTTGAAGAAAAGGTGGCGAAACATGAGTTGACTGAAGGGAAAGGGAAGTGGGGTCAAAATCCTGAGGAGGATTCGTCATTTCTTGAAGCTGTGAATCGGATTTCCAAGCTAACATCTTCCCTTGATGGATTGAGATCCGATCCAAATCGTGCAGCATTGATTAGCCGCATTGGAGGGATTCAACAGCGAGCAATGGCATGCTTGGAGGATGAATTCAGGTTCACTCTTGAAGATATTAAACACAATGATCAAGATCCTAATACTGATGCAAAAGGGAAGCAACATGAAGCTGACCGCTGCGTACTGCCAGAATCTGAATCAGCAGAAACTGACAACTTCTTAGGATATTCTGATGATGCTGTTTCAAAACTGAATAGAATTGCCAAGGAGATGATTGGAGGTGGATTTGAATCTGAATGTTGCCATGTGTACATGATGATTAGGGGGCAAGCATTTGATGAGTGCTTCACCGAGATAGGATTTGAGAAGATCAGCATTGATGAGGTGCAGAAGATGCAATGGGAAGCTTTGGAAAGAGAGATCCCTTTATGGATCAAGGCCGTCAAGGAATATGCAAGCATTTACTTCGTGAAAGAGCTAAAGCTCGCCGAGGCTATTTTCTCCAATCATTCCTCAATCTCCTCTAGCCTTTTCAGCAATCTTACGCGCAGTGTGTTGATCCAGCTCCTAAATTTTGCTGAAGCTGTTGCAATGACAAAGCGCTCGGCAGAGAAGTTATTTAAGTTTCTTGACATGTATGAAACTCTGCGCGACAGTCTTCCAGCAATGGGGGCTCTGTTTTCAGAGGAATATGAAAATGAGCTTAAAACAGAGTCAACAACAGCTCGGTGTCGGATTGGAGAGGCTGCAATCTGTATGTTTTGTGATTTGGAGAATTCAATCAAGTCTGATACAGGAAAAACTCCAGTGCCTGGCGGTGCGGTTCACCCGTTGACTCGCTACACGATGAATTATCTGAAGTATGCAGGTGAATACATAGCAACTCTTGAGCAAGTCTTTCGAGAACATTCAAAGATCGAACGTGCTGATTCAACAAGCAGGCCACGCTACGAAAGTGAGTCACAAAACTTTAACAATGACAATGATGAAGAAAATCAGTCTCCATTTTCAAATCAATTGGTGAGAGTAATGGACTTATTAGACTCCAATTTGGAGGCCAAGTCGAAGCTTTATAAGGATATTGCATTGAGCTGCATTTTCATGATGAATAATGGACGCTACATTGTGCAAAAGATCAAAGGCTCCACAGAGATCCGTCAAATGATGGGAGATCCATGGTGCCGCAGGAAATCCTCGGAACTCAGGAACTACCATAAGAATTATCAAAGAGAGACGTGGAGCAAACTCCTGGGTTGTTTAGGCCATGAGGGACTGCAAGTGAATGGAAAAGTAATTAAGCCAGTCTTGAAAGAGAGGTTCAAGAGCTTCAACGTGTTATTTGATGAGATCCACAAGGCGCAGAGCTCATGGGTGGTGAGTGATGAACAACTTCAATCAGAGCTTAGAGTTTCAATAACGGCGGTGGTGATACCAGCATACCGGTCCTTCATGGGGAGGTTTTCGCAGTATTTAACCCCTGGAAGACAAACAGAAAAGTACATAAAATATCAGGCTGAAGACTTGGAGACTTATATTGATGAACTTTTTGATGGAAATTCTGCCTCCGGGGCCCGGAAGAGACCATAATATTCATGATCTAGCTCCTTTCATGAACAAATTGAGCATTCAAAGGTTAAGTTAAGGATGCAATTTGGAGGAGTTGAAGCATACATTTTGTTATTTTTCAAAGGATTTGCAGTCAATTGTAGCCACCTTGATAATGTAAGGGTGCAACATGTTGTAAGGAGGCCTCTTGTTTTTCTGCTGGAAATGCATGGGTAATGCTAGCAATTATTCATGGAACTCCATCGGTTGAAGTACTGATAACTTCTGCAGGGTTGGCCTTTAATTTCAATTGGTTCCCCCATGTAATTTGTTTTTTTCTTGAATTTTTGTGTTATGAACAACATGATTCTGAATCTTTTTTAACGTTGTGATTCTGCTCGGCTAATTAATTCTTACAATCCTATGTTTTTTTTTTCTTCAATTTATTTTCTTTTGGTCATATTTCCAATCTTCCTTTATTTTCCTTTTGAGTTTATTTGGGACTTGGGGGGCTGGAAATGCAAATGCTGAATTTTTATTTTTATTTTTTATCATTTTTCATGAATATTAAAATTTTAAGTGTCTACCTAATTAATCAAGAGGCACATTAACAAGCTGAATTTGTATTTATGACATTGCTTATATATATATATATATTATATAAATGAGTATTTTATTTTTTATTTTATATAAAATTTTAAATTTAGTATAAGCTGGTGTATAAAAGATAATTTTTCAAATGTAAAATATAAAGTGTAATAAAAAACCTTAAAATGTTTAACCTGATTCCCTTTTTTTTTTTTCATAATACAAGCCACCATGATTAACTTACGTGGGGAAACGGTAAATTCGAGCAGAAAGCTTGGTCATTTTAGATTTTTTATTTTTTTAAGAAATATTTATTTTAAGTAAAACAACCATTATCACAAATTAGTTTTGAAAACTATTTCCTTTGAATTTAAACACTTTTAACAATAGATCCTAGCAGTTTTGGCATTTTCAAAATAAATACGAAAAATAAAAATGATTCGGAACAACTTCTGAATTAACCATATTATCTTTATATTGGTTTAACCGTATAAGACAATGTTTATTATCAAGTAAAGAAATTAAAATAACTCAATGCTAAGTTAAGTCAATACATAAAAAAACTTCTTTTATCTTATAACAAAATAAATTTATTTTATTTTTTTAAAATCAAAATTTAAACTGACCTGTTGCGGGTCTTATAAATATTTTTTTATTAAATATAAATCTTGAAATATGCAATTAAAAAATCTATTTACTTAGAAAGTATTAGATTAATAGAATGTGCATTTAGTCTCAATAAATTATTCCTTATTCGAATAATAAAAATAATAATTTTTATTGATTTTATGGAAAAAAATCTGAATAAATGATACTTATATTAAAAAAAATGTTATAGATAAATTTTAAAAAAACAAACATAAGAGAAGTAAAATAATTTTATCGTGTTTAGAAAGTAACTCATGATATTTTATTAATTATTTTATTTATTTATTTTAAAATGATAAAAACATTGATGAATCATGTATTTTATTTATTTATCTGTTTTTTAAATAATTATAAAAAATAAATAATAATATTTTATTATTTCTTATATATATATATAAATATCTGTTTTCTTTAATAATTTCAAAAAATAACTAATAAAATGTTATATAAACAACGTTAAATTTCATAGAGGTGCGTGCTTGAAATAAACGACGTGGCGGCGAAGATTTGCTCCTACCATGAGCTGGAATATTCAAGCGTGCGCGCGTGGGTATTTGGATATTTTTTAAAGTGCTGTTTATCTAAAAATATACTAAAATAATATTATTAAAAATTATTTTAATATTATTTTAAAAAATTAATATTAGCATATAGAATATTTAAAATTACTTAAAATATATTAATTTAAAATAAATATAAAATATAAAATTTTAATTTTTTTTAAAATACTTTTAAAACATAAAAAACAACAGTTCAATCACACGAATTAAGCAATCACCAGGGAAAAAATATATATATATAGAAACACCGCACCGCACCGCACCGCAATTTAGCGTGATAAAAATAATATAGAAACACCGCACCGCACCGCAATTTAGCGTGATTACTGCAGAAAGCTAAAAAGCTCACAACTAACTGCCTCTCTCACTTTCGAAACACAAGAGATGAGTGGTGAGGGGGTCTTAAAATCCAATTCGCGCAGTTACATTAATAACCATCTCTGAGCTGAAGAAATTTTGAAGCGCTGATTCGTTCTAACCGCATTATTATTACCCTATATTACCAGGTTTCTCTTTCTCTCTCTCTTGTGTTTCTTTCCATTTTCTTTTTCTATTTTTTCATTATTTGCTTGAGCTTTTAGGTTTTGAATTAATTAATTAATTAATTTCGGTTTTTTAACCACTTGCTAATTTATTTAGCTTTAATTATAATATTATCCTGCTCTCTTGAGTTTTTCTTTTTCTTTTTTCTTTTTTCGCAAATTGAATTTAGTGGAAAATTTGAAGTTTTGTTTTCGGCAATTGAAGAGAAGGCTGTAGGGTTTTGAGTGGAGAATTAGTTATTATTAACTGAAAGTAATATTTCGTTAATGTAATCAACATTATTATTAAGAAATTGAATATGATATTTTAGGAAAAAATAGAAATTCAGATAGAAGCTTATGACTATATATACTGAATACTAAGATGGAGGAACTTGGTGTTGGTTACTTTCTTAAGTTTCTGTTGATTTTCTCTGTTGCAAATAGCTTGTTTATTTGTTACCCAACATTAAATATTTTTTTTGAGATTTTTGGTTATAATCTGTTATAGGTTGCGTTGCCAAGGACAAGTAATTAATTTCTCTAAAATCGAATTTTCTTCTGTTATCATATTAGTATTGTGGGCTTTGAGTTTTTTGTTTTACTGGATCCTTTTAAAGTTTGAGTAATTTATATGTAGAAAAGCTTCGTGTCTCAAGATGTATGGGCAATATGGAGTTCCTGTGGAAGGTGTTCTATAGTTTTAGTTGTAGTTAACTTATTTGCTTTGGTGTTTAATTATATGGTGCGTGGTGATATCTACGGGTTGTGTTTTAATTTTTTGCTGCAAAATATTGAAGTGGGATTAACAGTATTTCTCTGTATTTCTTCTCTTATTATGATTTCTAAGCTTTTAAGGTCAAGGTCTGCTCTGCCATTTGCTTCATTTGTTGGGACAATAAATGGGAAGTTCGTTTAATCCTCAGATTTTTGTGGAGAAGCTTGCCAAGCTCAACAGTACACAGGCAAGCATAGAGAGTATCCTCTTTATAGTGTTATCCAATTAAACTTATGTCACCAATCATGTTTATTCATTTCTGTTAGAAAGTTTTGCTGGAACCTTTTAAATTTATAGATTTTTAGCTTCTGTTATTGAAGTCCAGTTGGTAATAACGTATGGGTTGTCACTCTTTTCTAGAACTATGCCTTGTTATTGAGGTGTATCAAGCAACAACTGAATTCTCTTGGTGAGGTTGTCTAAGGTAAAAGTTAATTCTGGAGATGTTTGTCCTGCTATAACCTATATTATATTGCTGGTTGTTGCATATTTTCTTCTTGGTTCAAGTGAAAAATTCAAATGTTGTTTTAATATTCTTTTACTGTATATTTTATTGGTATGTATTTAGCTGTCTGTCTTTCACCATCTTATGTAACCTGCAATCTCCAATATGTGGTGTGACTTCTTCATTGTTATCCTTGATTTGCTAAGCTCTATCGCATTGGTGTATCTTCCATATGAATAAAGCAAAACAGGTTGTTGAAACATGGGCCAGACAATTTCATTCTTCTCCACGTGACCGCAGATTGGCCTTTCTATATCTGGCAAATGATATATTGCAGAATAGTCGTCGAAAAGGTTCAGAGTTTGTTGGGGAATTCTGGAAGGTTCTTCCAGATGCTCTTCGTGACATGATTGAAAATGGGGATGAGTTTGGAAGAAGTAATGCTCAACGATTGGTACTGGATGCTCACCTGTCTTATATTTTCTGTCTTCAATTACCTTAATTGTTTGTAGTGTTTTTTCTTTTTCATTTTGTCGTTTTCACATGAACCAATCTTAGATTAAGCTCATACCACTTATTATTTGCTGGAAATTGCACAGCATATATTCTATTTTACATGGACTTGTGTTAGGATTTAAACCAATTCTACTGGTAATTATTATTATTATTATTATTATTATTATTATTATTATTATTATTGTGTGTGTGTGTGTGTGTGTGTGTGAGACTGTGGAAACATATAGCGAGAGCATTATGGTGATTTTTAAACAAACTAGCTTGGATTAAGTTTTAGAAGCAGAACATTGTTCCAACTAAGAGATAGAGGCAGATTGAATGTAGTGCTGGAATTGGGTGGATGTCAATTCTTGTATATATTCACTTGTCCATGTATTACCTGGAATGATATATTTGGAGATGGCTTATCCAAATTCTGCTGATATCCTGTGGGAATATACTGATCGAAGAATATTTGAGGAATGGATTCACTTAATTGGTTGAATCATATTTTGCCTTTATCTTATTAACATCTCAATTATAGTCAGTCCTTTGACATGAAATTTATCCACATGGGGAGTTGTATGTAGTATGAAGATGAAAAATCATGAAATTGCTTTAAACCAAAACAACACGGGTTTCATCTTGTCAAAAAGAACTCTGAAACCATCAAGAACCAACATTGACAAACCTAGAGATCTTCATCAAACATGAATCTCATGCAATTTCAGTTCTCAACATGATTGGAATGTAGATACATCAATATCTACATTGAGCTAAGCTAGTTTGAATCCGTAGGACTAAATGAGGTGGGGCACTGTCAACAGTCTGGTTTTGATGGTTTGGATATTTCATTTTGGTTCAACCATGCTTGCCATGTTTGATGAGATTTGCTTTTGATTGCATGGTCTTATGTATTTGTTCTTTTGTTCTTGAGTGCTGAGGTGCTCTTTAATTTTTAGACTTAGGATGCTTATTTTGCCTCTGAAATTGCTGGGAGAATAACATTCCCTGAATTATGTGTTAAGTATTTTTCAGAATAACATTGCATGCAGAAATTTACATATGTACTTGAATTTTTTAGCATCAACATCTGCCTATATTGCCAAATTTAAATACTTCTTATTACTGCATTTCTGTTGTCTTTACATGCAGATTGGCATATGGGAAGAAAGAAAAGTTTTTGGTTCCCGAGGGCAAATTCTGAAGGAAGAGCTTGTGGGAAAGCAAGT